CAATTAATAAAATTAACAACAGGGAATGATTTTGCAGACACTGAAATGTTGGAAAAACTAAAACCACACAAGGGGGAGGATATATTTAGTTTTCTTGCAAAATTTGAAAGTGCATATAGACTTGTTGGTGATTTTTCTGAAGATCAGTTAATTAATGAATTTGTGAAAAAATTTCAAGATCTAGATCCAACTGCAATTGTGTTAGCTAGAGAAAAAAGCACTTTGACAGAAGTAGCTTTGTTCTTGGATAACTTAAGGAGGGAAACCAAGAATGAAGGGGTTAAAACGACTTGTGGATTTAGGCAGAGGAAGAAGTGCAGATTTTACACACCTCCTTCTTCTTCTTTGTGGACTCAGTGTAAAAGAGTGATACAGACAGCAGAGCCACTCCCAATTTGCTTAAATCAAATGCAGAATATAACTCCTAAAGTTATTTGTTTTTGGTGCAATAAACAACATTATTTAAGATCTTGCAGATATTTTATCCGAGATATCAAATCAAAAGCAAATGAGAAATTAAATTTGTTGATTGAAAATTTTGACAGAGAAAATACATGTGGAGATAAATCAATTAAAGCCTTTCCTTGTAAACTGATAATCAGACAAATAAAAGCAATTTTAGCTAAATCGAAATTAGGAGACAGACAAGCAATGCAGTGTAACACAGAAAGTTATAAGAATCAGATAACTTCAAGAGATATGATTAGTTTAGGGAATGAGCATGGATATGTGTTCCAACAGATGTACACAGGCTGATTCCAGAATTAAGAACAGCACAAGAATAGAGATCTATGTTAGTTTGTTGTTTTAATGAATTGTTAGTCTGAACTGTTTTTTCATTGTTTTATGTGTGTTATAAGAAAGTATTAGGTTAATTAATGGAAATAAAAATTTACATCAAGTTTGCAAATATGACAGAATGAAATACACTAATGTAGCAGTTAGGAACATGCAATGTATGTTATATTGGGTGTATGCAATAATACAGTAACTCCAATCATTTTACAGAAGGAAAAAACAATGTTGTTACTTCTGAGGTTGATTTAAAATCTTTGATTTAATTCATGAGAATGAGATTTTAATGTCATGACTGATAATGGATTACTATATTTTGCAAAGCCTGGACATACATATGTTTTGACTACATAGAAGACAAAAGTTTTGATAGGATAAAACCTAGATTTACAAATACATTTGATGTAGGAAACAATATATGTTTTTGTAGTTTGTTTCCTGAGACAAAATGGTGACAGTGTTAAGACAAAATGGCTACTATAGCTAAAGTATAGTGGAAAACAATATTTTGTTGTAACATCTGATATGTGATTAGGTTATACCTCCAGATTATTAAACAGTTTAAAAGGGGGGTATGAGTAATAAAAAGTTTGAGAATTGAGAATTTACATGTTCAGAAAGATTTTAATATAAGGAAATTTAAAGATTATACATCACATGGCATAGATGTAATGACCACTAGATGGTAGATCTCATGAGAGGATATGAGTATGTTTTGTGTAGTCAATATAATTCAATGTTAAACTGTGTAATAATAATGAGATATAAACATTGTAAGCCATTGTATTGATGCTGCACATGTTTTTTTGTTTTAATGTAGGTAAAGCGTGACAGATCCTTGTGGCAATAAATCAGGAAAGTATTCCTTCAGACAACTGGACATCGACTGTTGGAAAGAGACTTTTCATCTGATCTGCAAACTGTGATGGAAGATTCTACAGAGTTCATTCGATACAGAAGATTAACAGACTTACAAAGAAATAAAAGATTGACACTAACATACATATCAATTCCTAAATATTAACGAAAAAGAAAAGAGACAATTAAAAGTTATGTAACAGTTATGAGTGTATTAATACCAAAAGAGACTACTTATAGCTATATAACACATGGAGTAAAACTATGAAAGGATAGTATTATGAAGAGAACTATTACATTATTACCTATACATAGAATGAGAAGTATCAGAGGTAGATAAAATATGAAGTCGATAAAATAAGGATCATGGTTACTTAATATCACAAAGATTGAGTTCAATAGTATTTCATAGATTAACTATAATGAGTAATTTGTTTATATTGAGGTGAAGTAAAACAAACAATGGTAACAAAAGGAAGAAAACTAAGGAAGGATAATTTATATTGATTAATATTAAGTAATTGTATACATTAAGAATGCCTTGGATATAAGAGTTCAGAGATCCAAGAGGAATTGAATTGAATGGAAAGAGTATAGTACACAATTATATTTGACCTTAGTCTATAAAGGTATGGACTAGGGAGAATAGGTTTCTGGATATGGCGATATCCAATGAATACATTGTTTTATGATTACCCTGAGTTTGTAAGACACAGACTAGGAATAAGAGTTTCTGGGCAGTATGACCCCAAGTTTATTTTTGTTTATTTTATTTTAGTCAGTGGAAGTGTACTAAGGAATATGGATTGGTCAGAACATTAGGACAATCCTGCTTTTAAGATGTATTACATTAATAAGTCATCACAATGCTAATGAAGAGAGTGATGCTAATGAATTTAAATTATTCTTTCCAAGTTCTTTTAAAGTAAACCATTCTCTGATTGAATGTAAAGTTTGTTACTACAAGGTGGAATCTTAGTGAAAATTATAATTATGTGAACAAAAACAAATCTATGATAGAAAGATTTCTGGGTGGAGAATTTCTAGAACAATAAGTATTGTCAACACCATGAACATTATTTGAAGAATTATTATAGAACTTCATGGTTGATAACACATCCTTTGAATGAGACTTATAAGTAGTGTTGATATATTTCAGGTAGTGAGAGCCTACTGAATATACAAATTAAATACTATGATTGTAAAATACTGATGCAATTATCACTAGGTGGTATTAATGGTATAGGAATGTAATTCATGAATACAAATGACCTGAAGATTTTAAGGTTGCTAGAATATAATTGGACGGATATTATAGTAATACATGTATTAGTACTTAAGTAATATCAGGTATTAAGAATGAAAATACTATGCTATATGTGTCTGTAGGAATATGATAGTGATACACAGTTATTATTTAGAAAGTTACGATCTTGGATTTTGTTATCTACAAAGATACGACTGTACCATAGCAGGTAGATATTTCTGATTGCTTTATTGTTTATTGGATCAACATTTGTAAATATTTTATTCATTTATTATTGTTATATATATGTATATATTATGTTCAAGTAGTTATGATGTAACATGGATATGGATATCAATACATAGCTGAAACAGAGGAGTTTTGAAGTAAAGTAAGCAGTATGAGGGAAAGAAACTCGACCTTCCAAGAACTCTCATATAATAGAAAGTTGTGACTACATCTTGTTCTATGCTCAATGAATGTGATACAAGTGAGGTATGAATGGACAGGTTATATACATTGTGTTATGGTTTTAAAACAAACCATAAACAGAGGGAATGTAGAATATTGCATATTCTATGTTTCTATTGATTATATATATGGATGTGTGGATTGACATAAGTAACAGATGGTATCAATAAGTCACAAGGCTTTCTTTGTCCGAGAGCTCTGGAATGTGGATTCGGGGGTCTTGTCCTTATATGGCTAGAGTTATATGCTGACGTTAGTATTAGCACATCTAGATAGTAACAGAGGGACACGAGGTCGGTCTCACTCTTGGCTTGGCTCTGTACAACGATGTAACTCTCCCATCAGAAGTACAGCAATTACCATCTGCTGTTAAATGTCCATTATCCTGTAACATCCTATATTATGTTTTATGTATCCGTAACTAAGAATAAACCTGAAGAAACCGTAAGTCAGATTGCGTATTACTACTTTTCAATAATATAGACATATATTATTGTGGCGAGCATTTGGCCCAAGAATATATATACAAAAGACGTATATATATCAATCAACTGAAGACAAGAAGAAATTAAGAAAGAGTCTACATTAACATCCATTCATCTAGTTTTTTACAATTTATTTTTTATTGACAGTGTCTATCTTTAATAAATTTAAATAGAAAGCACTAGTGATGCACCGAACGGTTCGCTGGCGAATAGTTCCCGGTGAACATAGCATGTTCGCATTCGCCACGGCGGGCGAACATATGCGCGGTTCGATCCGCCCCCTATTCGTCATCATTGAGTAAACTTTGACCCTGTACCTCACAGTCAGCAGACACATTCCAGCCAATTAGCAGCACACCCTCCCTAGCAGACCCTCCCAACTACTGGAAGGCATCCATTTTACATTCATTCTCAAGCTGCATGCTTAGTGAGAGGAGGGAAAGTGTAGCTGCAGTTGATTAGATAGGGAAAAGCATAGCTAGGTTAGGGTATACAGTGTCCACTACAGTCCTGAAGGACTCATCTGATCTCTGCTGTAAGGACTTTTTTCACTGTTATAGATTGAATAGTAGTTAGTTGTCTGCCAGCGTCTGTGTCAGGCTCACAGTGGATACTGTGCCCAGTGCCACCACTCACTCACTGGTGTCACAATAGCGTGCATTTAAAAACCCAAAAACTTTTTTCACTGTTATAGATTGAATAGCAGTTAGTTGTCTCAAAGCGGGTGTGTCAGGCTCACAGTGGATACTGTGCCCAGTGCCACCACTCACTCACTGGTGTCACAATAGCTTGCATTTAAAACCAAAAAACTTTTTTCACTGTTATAGATTGAATAGCAGTTAGTTGTCTGCCAGTGTCTGTGTCAGGCTCACAGTGGATACTGTGCCCAGTGCCACCACTCACTCACTGGTGTCACAATAGCTTGCATTTAAAAACAAAAAACTTTTTTCACTGTTATAGATTGAATAGCAGTCAGTGTCCTTAAAGCGGGTGTGTGAGGCTCACAGTGGATACTGTGCCCAGTGCCACCACTCACTCACTGGTGTCACAATAGCTTGCATTTAAAAACAAAAAACTTTTTTCACTGTTATAGATTGAATAGCAGTTAGTTGTCTCAAAGCGGGTGTGTCAGGCTCACAGTGGATACTGTGCCCAGTGCCACCACTCACTCACTGGTGTCACAATAGCTTGCATTTAAAAACAAAAAACTTTTTTCACTGTTATAGATTGAATAGCAGTTAGTTGTCTCAAAGCGGTGTGTCAGCCCTACAGCGTGTACTCTGCCAGTTCACAGTGCCACTCATATCTGGTGTCATAATAGCTTGCATTTAAAAACAAAAAACTTTTTTCACTGTTATAGATTGAATAGCAGTTAGTTGTCTCAAAGCGGGTGTGTCAGCCCTACAGCGTGTACTCTGCCAGTCCACAGTGCCACTCATATCTG